ACAATAATGTCTTCAGAGTTGTAAATATTAAACATAATGAAGAGATACATCTTTTTCTTCTTAGGTTTACTAATCAAATGAGTTTATCTCAACTAGATGCTTAAGACTATTACTGAGTTTAAATAAAATTCAGTTTAAAAACAAGATGTACAGGGGCGCCTGGGTGGCTCAGTGGGTTAAAGCCTCTGCCTTTGGCTCAGGTCATGATCCCAGGCTCCTGGGATGGAGCCCCACATCGGGCCCTCTGCTCCACGGGGAGCCTGCTTCCTCCTCTCTCTCTCTCCCTGACTCTCTGCCTACTTGTGATCGCTGTCTGTCAAATAAATAAATAAAATCTTAAAAAAAAAAAAACAATAAAACACAGCAATATAAAAATAAAAGTTGGAGAGAGCCATATGTTTTCCCTCCTGTGATTATCTAAAGAAGAGTAACTTAAGATTATGCTACCTTTGTTTCATTAAACAAAGTATTATGTCTACTTAAAAATAGTTTCCAAAATCTTTTAGGAAACTTGAAACCTTAAAGTCATATTAAGTTAAATTAAATGATGGATATTCACTGAATATTTAAATAAGATAATACACTAAAACATTAATTGCTAACTATAAATTTATCTGCTTTTGGCCTTTCAATTCTTATAGAGAGAAGAAAGATATTTGGGTCTGTTAGTAAGCATATCTTTTACCACATTAAGAAACTGTACTATGAAAAAGTCTAAGTCTTCAAAAATTATAAACATTTATAATTATGTAGTTAGAAATTTACTAACCTACTAGAAAATGTTAACAAATATAATAGTTCACAATTGCCTGCTTCCTAATTTTCACTAGAAAATAAAGATTACTAAGTGGTTAAAATTTGTAATCAATAATAGGGGCACCTGAGTGGCTCAGTGGGTTAAGCCTCTGCCTTCGGCTCAGGTCATGATCCCACGGTCCCGGGATCGAGTCCCACATTGAACCCTGCATCGGGCTCTCTACTCAGCAGGGAGCCTGCTTCCCCTTCCTCTCTCTCTGCCTGCCTTTCTGCCTACTTGTGATCTCTGTCTGTGAAATAAATAAATAAAATATTTAGAATAATAATATTTACAATCTATATATGAAAATAAAACTTAAAAATGGTGAAGAAAAAAAAACTTCGTGTACAAAGTATAAAAGAAGAATGGGATGTGTTATTATATAAAGAGTATACGATGATGTGTTTTTGTTAAGCAAAAAGGAAGTAATTTTGTCCTTCAGCAAAATGATTAAATGTTCCAGAATAAGAAAGAGGAAAGGAATAAGACAAAATCAAATGGATGTAGAAAATTGCATGTTTGTGGAAAAGAAATTTTATGTTGCAAGGTCAAAGCTGGCCAAAATTAAATGGATAATTTATCAGAGTTTTACAAAATGAGCTCAATAATATACTAATACAAAATAAGTTTAATTTTCTCCCCATTAAAATGAAAGTTTCTTAGATTATTGGTCTGCTTTTAATAAGAGATTATAAAAGGTTTTTCTTTACCTTTTATATCATCTGCCAAGGAGATAAAGATTCTATGTCTTATCAAAGTAATTTCCTGTGCTTCACATTGTCTTTATTAGATCTTTGATTACTTAGGAAAACTGAGTCTTCAATCTTAAAGAAGCTGAGGAGTTTTTGTTTGTTTGTTTGTTTGTTTGTTTACAGTTATGTGACTTTCTATATTTACCTTTAAAACCTTTTAATGGTCACTTTAATTAGATGGATAACTAAGTATTTTGTCACTGGGATACTACTTAATCAAGTGTTTTTAAACCTTTAGGCTTTTTGTTTTTTTAGGTAATAAGTGAATATTTATTAAGAATGAGAACAAAAATCACAAAAAATTAGAAATTTTAAAAGATGGCCACATAAATATCACAAAATCTAAACCTATAACAAAATTTTCATTAACTCCTTAGTACTCTACAATCATTCCTGCATCTTAGGATTTTGGATCACCTCATTATATGCCAATAAATTTTTAATATTGTCTATAAAAATAACAGTGGTAACTGAGACTTTCCTTCAGGGCATCTGGGTGGCTCAGTCAGTTATGCCTCTGACTCTTGATTTCAGCCCAGGTCATGATCTCAGGGTGGAGAGATTGAGTCCCACCTTGGACTCTGCACTCAGCAGGGAGCCTACTTGAGATTCTCTTCCACTACTTCTCCATCACCCCTCCCCAACTTGCACTCTGTCTCTAAAAATAAACAAAGATACAGATACAGTGAAAAGAAGGGCCATATGCACCCCAATGTTCATAGCACCAATGTCCACAATAGCCAAACTGTGGAAAGAGCCAAAATGCCCTTCAGCAGGCAAATGGATAAAGAAGATGTGGTCCATATACACAAATGAATATTACTCAGCCATCAGAAAAGATGAATACCCAACTTTTGTATCAACATGGGTGGGACTAGAGGAGATGATGCTGAGTGAAACAAGTCAAACAGAGAAAGACAATTATCATATGGTTTCACTTATTTGTGGAACATAAAGAAATACATGGAGGACATTAAGGAAGGTAAAAATGAAGGGGAGGAAATCAGAGTGGGAGACCAACCATGAGAGACATGGAAACAAACTGAGGGTTTTAGAGGGAAGGGGGTTGGGGGATGGGTGAGCCTGGTAATGGGTATTAAGGAGGGCATGCATTGCTTGGAGCACTGGGTGTTAGAGGCAGACAATGAATCATGGAACACTACATCAAAAACTAATGGTGTACTATATGGTGACTAACATAACACAATAGAAAAAAAAAGAAAATAAATAAATAAAAATAAACAAATAAATTTGGAATGCAGTCTTGGAAAGGACATTTGACTTAGGTCTTAGTTTTCTTATCCCTGGAAAGCAGTAACAGGAAGAAGTAGGGCAGCTGAGCACAGAGCTCGAGAACTGGCCACAGACCCAGAGCGCTGGCTGCCACCTCAGCACCATGTCAAGGGGAGATCCAAACCTTTAGATATTTTTGACAAATTTCCCAAAATCAAATTCAAAATGAGTCTCTTGACCTTCAGCTAACTTTGGAATTTCTCAGAGTCCCTAAATGATCTTAAAGATTTGTTCTCTGTCCTTACAAAAAGAAATTAAACTAATAGCTTGTTTGAGATGTGAAATTACATGGGAAACATTGTCAAATAAAAGTGATAATTAACTTTCTTTAGGTCATATTTGTATGAATAGATGTTACCAATATTTAAAATTGTATAGAATTCCTAGAAATCTGTCACTGCCCTTACCACCTATATAATCAGTCATAATTCCAATTATTACTTGAAAACATTGCATTTTACAAAAATAACCAAATGTTATTATAAATTGTATCATATTTTTAATAGTGACCTCTCACCAGATCTGTAACCATGGCTATTTTTAAGGTTTTTTTTGTCATTCATAAACCATTGTCTTACTCTTAATTATTCTCTGAGAGCATTTTCCATCAACTGTAGGCAAATACGCTTCATCTCTAAGGAGATCTGTTGAAAAGACCCTGACAAGCACTCTAGAATACAGGTTTCTGATAACTGCAGATCATAATATTAAGCTAGATAAGAATTTCTAGAATTCTGGGACAACTAGGTGGCTCAGTCAGTTGTGTCCGACTTTTTTTTTTTTTAAAGATTTTATTTATTTATTTGACAGAGAGAGAGAGATCACAAGTAGGCAGAGAGGCAGGGGGAAGCAGGCTCCCTGCTGAGCAGAGAGCCCGATGTGGGGCTCGATCCCAGGACCCTGAGATCATGACCCGAGCCGAAGGCAGAGGATTAACCCACTGAGCCACCCTGGTGCCCCTGTCCGACTTTTGATCTCAGCTCAGGTTGTGATCTCAGGGTTGTGAGATTGAGCCCATGTTGGGCTCTATGCTAAGCCTGGAGCCTGCTTAAGATTCCTTCTCTCATCCCCCCTGGTGTGCCACATTCCCTCTCTCTCTTTCTCAAAAAAAAGGGGGGACACCTGGATACCTCCGTTGGTGGAGTGACTGCTTTTGGCTCAAGTTATGATCTCAGTGTCCTGGGATTGAGCCCCACATCAGGCTCTGTGCTCAGCAGGGAGTCTGCTTCTCCTTCTCCCTCTGCCCTGCCACCCCCACTCCCTGTGCTCACTCTCTCTCTCAAATAAATAAATAGAATCTTTTTTTTTTAAGATTTTATTTATTTGACACAGAGAGAGAGAGCACAAGCAGGCAGAGAGGCAGGCAGAGAGAGAGGGGGAAGCAGGCTCCCTGCTGAGCAGAGAGCCTGATGTGGGGCTCGATCCCAGGACCCTGGGATCATGACCTGAGCCAAAAGCAGCAGCTTAATCCACTGAGCCACCCAGGTGCCCAATAAATAGTATCTTAAAAAAAGAAAAAAAAAACTTAAAGAATTTCTAGAATTCTAATGGAAAAACTGATTGATTCATAAAACTACTAACCCAGGCTCAGGCAAACAAAAAGCAAGTACATGAGATTGAATGAACTGATAAGGATGGTTATAATTTTATGACTTTTTGTTTAAAACATTGTTAGATCTTTAATGTTTTATTTTTGAGATTTGAGAAAACCCTTTTTTGGGGGTGCTTGAGGGGCTCAGTTGGTCAAGCATCCATCTCTTGATTTCAGCTCAGGTCATGATTTGAGATTGTGGGATCGAGCCCCGCATCAGGCTCCATGCTCAGCACGGAGTCTGCTTGGGATTCTACCCCCCACCTGCCCCGTTCCTCCCCTGCTGGCACAGGTTTTCTATAAATAAATAAAATCTTTTTAAAGAAAGAAAACCCTTATTCTCTTTTTCTTAAGCTATCTATAGCTTATCTCGATTTGATAGACTATACCTTTGTAAGCAAAAATTAAAATATTTATCGGGGTGCCTTGGTGTCTCAGTTGGTTGGATGTCTGCCTTCAGATTAGGTCATGATCTCGGGTCCTGGGATCCAGCCTCGTGTCAGACTCTTGGCTCAGTAGTGAATCTGTTTCTCCCTCTATGTTCTCCTTCTCTCTCTCTCTTTCTCAAATAAATAAAATCTTTAAAAAAATTAAAATATTTATCTTTTTCTTCCTACCTGATGCCTCCAGAATTTAGAAACTTTTTTTTAAAGATTTTATGTATTTATTTGAGAGAGAGAGAGAGAGCAAGAGAGAGAGAAAGCACACAACAGGGGCAGAGAGAGGCGGGGAGATGCAGACTCCCCTGCTGAGCAGGGAACCTGACATGACACTTGATTCCAGGACCCTGGGATCATGACCTGAGCTGAAGGCAGGAGCTTAACTGCCTGAACCATCCAGGTCCCCCCACCCCGAATTTGGAAATTCTTAATAAACATTCTTATTCATGATAATATAGTTGTTTACATAGGTTCAGTAAGACTCTGTTCTCTTTACAACAATTGGAAACATTGGGTATATTATCAAGACTTTGACTGTAATGTCATATTTGACAATGCAGTACATAGACTTAAATGTGACCAGACGGAGGGATACCTGGGTGGCTCTGTCGTTTGGACATCCAGCTCTGGGTGTTGGCTCAGGTCATGGTCTTGGGGTCATGGGATCGAGCCAGAGTTGGGCTCCACACTCAGTGCAGAGTCTGCTTGGGATCCTTTCCCCCACTGCACCTCCTCCTTTTTTCTCTCTCAAATAAATAAATAAATAAATAAATAAATAAAATCTTAAAAAAAAAATAATGTGACCAGATGTATTTAAGGAACTAAGTTTGACTATATGGAGCCAAAGTTTATAACACCTCTTGAAATACCAGCCCAATTAATTTTGCTTACAGGATTCCCAGCCCTACAGGTGACTAAGCAAGATTACTTCTTAGCAGGCTCAAGTCTTAAGATCCATTGGGTACCTTGAAAATAGAGGAATTCACCCAAATATATGGATGCTACAGGCAAAGTTTGATGGCAAATTCTTGGCTTGATTTCTTAGCCTCAAATGGCTTTTAAGGTTCAATCTAGGGGGTGCCTGGGTGGCTCAGTGGGTTAAGCCTCTGCCTTCGGCTCAGGTCATGATCTCAGGGTCCTGGGATCGAGCCCCACATCGGGCTCTCTGCTCAGCAGGGAGCCTGCTTACCTTCCTCTCTCTCTGCCTGCCTCTGCCTACTTGCAATCTCTCTCTCTGTCAGATAAATAAATAAAATCTTTAAAAAAAAAAAAGTTTCAATCTAGGATTCCATATTAAAAGTTCCAACAAAACTGACTTACAAAGAGCCCATGTGTTACATCACTATTGTTGCTCACTTATGTAAATAATCAGGTCAAGTTTAATGAGACTAAACTTATTTTACAAACAAAATAGCCTTCCTGTAAGGGCACCTGGGTGGCTCAGTTAGTTAAGCATCTGACTTTGGCTCAGGTCATGATCCCAGGGTTCTGAGATGGAGCCCCGTGTCTGGCTCCTCCGCTCAGCAGGAGCCTGCTTCTCCCTCTGCTCCCGGCTTGTACTCTCCCTTGCTATCTCTTTGTTTCTCTCTTTCTCAAATAAATAAATATTTTTTTAAAAAATAGTCTTACTATAATTATATTTAAGAAAAATGGGGAGAGAAAATTGCATTTCAGTGAAAACCTGTAACAGGGGCTTACAATTAAGATTCCATCCCTTTCATTGTCTTTGAGGTTTTGTTATCTACCTAGAAACTGGTCTAGATCCTGAATTCTTCTAGTTTCCTCCAGTATATGGCCACAACTCTCCAAACTAACATCTCCTATTTTCCTCCCAACCTTCTGACTTGAACTCACAAAGAATGAAAACTCTCCTTTTCCCGAAGTCCTATATGCAATGGTTGGATGACCTGAGATAAACTTCAGAAAATCACCACAACGGATCAGAGATCAATGAACTTCATGGCTGCTTGTGTAGGCCACTCAGAGAATTCACTCGGAACACCGGGTGCAACGAGAGACCTTCAAACTACAAACAAGGAAATTTGTCAAATTACAATTTCCATCCTTATTCTACCACACGACGAAGCTTCTTCTTAAATCTAGAGATCTCAGGGCGCCTGGGTGAGTCAGTCTCTCAAGTATCACACTCTTGGTTTTGACTCAGGTCATGACCTCAGGGTTCTGGAATCAAGCCCCGTGTGTGCTCTGTGCTCAGCGTGGAGTCTGCTTGAGGATTTGTCTCCCTCTCCTTCTTCCCCACCCCCTATTCAGGTGCATGCACATGTGTGCTCTCTCTCCCCCTCTAAAAATAAGGAAATCTTTTTGAAAAATCTAGACCTCTTCTCAACTGGCTGTCCTCTGAACTCAGAAATTAAGTTTCCAACTATTAATATTCATTTCTCTTTAATCTCTATAAAAAATGCTCGTCAGTAAATGCCTCATTGCTCCTATCATATGGTGACCTAACTTAGAACTGCCCTCACCTCCGTCACCATCTACTGAGCTGAGACAGAGCTGTTCAAATGAACGGACCTGTTCTCAAGACTAAGAGAGTAAATCACTGGGAAACAGAATAATCTGCCAACTCAGATTCTGGACCATGGATCTTTTGGGGGAATCTTCAAAGAGGAAGAATGAAAGGATGTAGAATACGCCACTTTGACGTAAGTTCTATTTTGAGCTGGAGGCACTTAAAAAACAGCAGATGCATAGAAGGGCATTCTAATCTCCCTGTTCTTCCTGAAAACAGGCGATGAACACTCCCTTGTGAATGATGCCCTCCCTGTACCAGGGGAAAAGGAACATTCTTCAATGGGGAATGAAAGCCAAGAGAATCCTGTATAAATAGACCATGTTAAAATAATACTTATCTTCCTGTAGCTTCCCCATATAGCTCATTTACTTTTCAACAATTGCCTTTTTGTCCAACCTAATGTAAAAGCCGGTAGGTTTACCATTTCTTTGGATCTTTCTTTTGTTGTGAGATCTCCCATGTCATATAAAACTGAAAGGTTTGTATACTTTTCTCCTATTAATCTGTCTTATAGCAGTTTGATTCTCAGGCCTGGCTCAAAAACCCTAAGAAAGTAGAGGTAATATTTTGCTTCCCCTACATTCTCACTGTCTCTCCTATTGATTAAAGGGTCCTGGTGGCTCACAAGTGTTGGGAAGAAGAGAAACAGTATTTGTAATATTTCTTTAAATACCATCTTGTCTGTTTTCTAAGCATCATTGTGGGGTGGGGGAGAAAGAAAAGAAACCATCCTGCTGGCCAGTTTCTTTCCTCATCTGATTAGGTGGTCATTTTGCCCCTGTTTTGGTCAGTGGCATTGTCAATGTTTAGACCTCATTTTCGGGCAGTAGTAAATCAATAGAAGCCTGAGACCTGAAGACTATTTTTTACTTTTTCTGCCTCTCTCTCTCTCTTTTTTTTTTTAAAACCTTTTTCTTTTATTTCTGGAGATTTACTCCCTTTGTACGTACACCAGAGCAGAGCTGCTACAGCTGCCTAGAAATGGGAATCACTAGATCGTCATCTGTATTCAAACATCACCGCATGTCCAAGGTGAAAGCCATAGACTCTGACTCACCTATTTCCTGCTTTCTGGGTGGTGCTTTTTGAGAACTCTGCATAAAGTCTCTAAGATCTGTACTAGTACATCTTTGAGCTTCTAGGGAGGGGCCTACTCCCAGAAATACTTGCAAACAAAAGCTCCAAGCTGGGAAGAACCTATGTGTAAAAATTTGTCAATAAATACAAAGGTGTGCCTCTTAAGAAAATAAGACTTACATTTGACATAGTCTGTAATCTCTTATTCTCCAGAGCAGAGTGCACAGATTAGTTTCTCTATAAACAAAACCAGTTTGTTAGAGCAGACAATTGCAGGGGTATGTGTGTGTGGGTGTTTTTTTTTTTTTTTTTCTCATGAATTAGGCAATGGTGGGCTTGAGAATAAGAAACCATAGTGTTAAGAGTTCTGACACCAGAACTGAACTTCTAGGTATAGAATCCTAGTGCCACCACTTATTAAGTGACCTTGGGCAAATGATTTCCCCTCTGTGCCTCAGTTTCCCAGGGGTAAAGTAGAAATGACAATAATAGCATCTGTCTCATTGGGGGTGTTACGAAGCTGAATGCGTTAATCCTTTAAAGCGCTTAGCACAGTTTCTGACTCATGGTAAGCCTTATCTAAATGCTTACCTTTAAAATTGTTAAAACTTGGGACACCTGGGTGGCTCAATCCATTAAGCGCCTATTGGTTTTGGCTCACGTTATGACCTCAGGGTGTGAGACCGAATCCTGCATTGGACTCCATGCTCAGTGTGGGATCTGCTGGAGATTTTTCCCCCTCCCTCTCCCTTCCCCTCTACTCCTCCCCACCCCCACTTGCACACAAGTTCTCCCTCTTTCTAAAATAAATAAGTACAATCTTTAAAATCGTTAAGCCTTTTTTTTTTTTACTGTTTTCTATTTATTCGTTAATTAAAAAGTGCATAGTACAAGCCCTTTATCCCAGTCCAAGTACTCAGTAAAAGATTACATTAAACCCTGGATGGCACAGACATGATTTCTTTGGCATGATTTAAACATTGAAAAACAGTAGTTCATGTTTAGTACATCACATGACCACTATTGCTTTAACAAAGTAATCATCAGACATGGTAACAAATACATATGCTTTTTTATTTAGAAATATTATGTTAAGACTAAATCTACTATTGCAACAACAAAAATTTAATTTATGTGTAAACTCTTCGTTTCTCCTTCAAGTTGCTATTTTGTGTCTTAAGCTGATGAGCCGGTCAAATTTTAGCATGTTTATTTAGAGTGACAGGTTTTAATTCAGAGTGATACACTTCCAAAGTTCCTTGAAAAATAAAAGAATTCAGTCATTCTACAAACACTATCACATCACATACCACAATGACACTAAAAGTAACAATGGAATAACTGAAGCTAATAGTTACTTTAGAAAATCTCTGCAAGTTGATTTAAAATATGACTTGCTGGCTATGGGATAATGCTTGGATGGATACATGACAAAATCTTTTACTATACACAGTTCCAATATTAACTTTTTCTATAGGGAAAACAAGAAAACATTATTTTGCATAAGGGACATTACATGACTCTAAAACAAAATACATTTAATGTTATTTGTGGAATATTTAAGAGCCAAAAGTGATTAAAATATGAAGCTCTATCTTTCCTTTTCCTGGATTATTTAAAAATGAATGTAGCCACCGTTCCAGTGAATGTTTGTAAGCCAAGTAATGAGTAAGACTGTGCTCAATAAAAAGGCCACATGTAGAAACTTTAAGATTAAATAGAGTAATATAAATTACTAGTTAGGTTAACAGGAATACTTTGTAAGCAGAGTATGTGGCCTTTCTCAGGAATGCAGAGAAATTTTACAAGCAAAAAAACCCCAAGTATTTCTCTAAGAACTTTTGTTGCTAATTAAATAGACGGTCCATATAGAAAAGTTTAATATACTAGATGTACCATCAGTTAAGTGTATGTGACAGAAATGAAGAACCAGGAATAAGAATCTAGATTTGTAGGTCTCTAGCTAACTAACACTGGACATTCTGTTTCCACATCAAGGCCAACTGGCTTCAACCAAAGCCAATTCTCAATTACTTGTGAGCCACAGATTGAGTGAATCCATCAGCATCTCTGCCAGAGGTTGGCTTTCCAGCAGCTTAGAGAACAGACTCCTAGGATGCATATGCAAGCCTTCAAAGTCCAGGGGCCAAGGGCAGAAAAAGGAATGTTTATGAGATTTAACTCCATTCTATGCCACCCCTGCCCTTTCCACAATGAATACTCTAACAGCTGTAAAGCTGGGAATGCTTCCAGTAAGCCATAGCAAGAGGAAGATTGAAATCTATGGTGCTCACTTATGCAAGATTTGACTTAACCTGTGTTATGATACCCCTCAATTAGCACAAGTAATTAAGAATAGATGATACTATGTCAAGAAGTTGAGCTCACAGCTAAGATCCACAGAAGGAATGCGAGCAGTCAATATTGGATTATACAATGAAATGAAGCCCTTAAAAAGTTTATGGCCTAAAATGTAATCATAATAAAGGGGGGAAAATACCCCAGGAGCGTCACACAATTGTATCAGAGACTCAAAGAGTACAATGATATAGAGAAGTTTATTAATTCATACAAGTAATTTCTCAGATCGATACAGTGAAAAGTTAGACTGATCTGGGGGGAAACTCCTTACATCGATAGCAAAATATCTTCTAACCCCCATAAACCATCTGTAATCACTTGCTAAGAAAAAAATCCCATAACCACATAGGTCATGCAGACTTGTTTTTATGCCATTTGTATTCTTTTTTTCTTTTAAACTGAGCAAAACAATGCAAACTTTTACTTTTCATACATTTCAAAATTCTACTTATAATAATAATAATGCTCCTCCCCACCCCAATCCATCTTATCACTAAAAAAGAATGAGATAAGGGGTGAGAAAAAGATCCTTGATTGCTTTTTCATTTTCCTCTTTTTCCCTTGGAGTAAACCATCAAATATTTCTGAAGTCAGAAGGGAAACAAAAGACTCAATTTTTTCTTCACAGAAAAAAATAGGCTAAATAAGTAAGCAACATTCAAATGTCAGTAACCAAATAGGCCCCCAATACAGCTTTCAGAGAGTTCCATTTAACAGGGAAGTGTTAGGACCGGAAAGGTTCCTGAGAGGCACCCATTTAACAAATAAATTATAGCTTTAATTATTACTGTATAGAATATATCTGGCAAAGGCAGAAAGCATTAACTTTTTTCCTCCTTTCGTGAATCTTATAAGGCTATAATGGACTGTAAATCACCCACCATATTAAATCATGCTTATTTAAAGTTCTCCTAATATTAGACATTTTTGTAGGAATAAAAAACTTAGTAAACAACTATTTCATTTCTTCTCCCTCTTTTTCTAGCCACATAAGCCAGTTGTAGTGGATGACACAGATCTGTAAAATATTCCAAAGGCTGGCACAGTCCCAAGAACTAGAAAAAACTGCCACCCACAAATAAACTATTAAGGTAAATGTAAATACAGTGTGGTTCTAATTCTTTTTCATACAATCTCAGAGAACACCAAGTAACTTTATAAATACCTTATGGGGGAAAAAAGCAATTTTAAAAACCTATCAAAGCTATTTAAAATATTTAAAGGCAGGATCTCAAATTTCCTTCAATCAAGCCAGAAATCATCACAAAAAAATTCTTATCACAGTTACAAATAGAATGAGTGGAATGTTTAAGTTTAGGACAACCAAAAAAGCCCATGTAACTTTTTCAATATAATCATTTACTCAAATATACTGTAAAAAGGAATGGTGATAACACAGGAAGCAAAAATAAGCTCGCGAGTGAAATTTCCAGAAGCTCATGAAAACAATACCATCCCAGATTGCAGATGCAAAAGGAGAAACAGTCTAATGGGGTTAAGAGTACTCTGGTCGTGCAAGGTGTTAACTATTTTCACTTCCCGTATCACAAAGTTAGTCCACAGGAGGGCCTGGTGGATCTTGTCCCTTATGAGGACTGGTTGGCTTGCCAGTTAGGTTGGATCCTCTTAGATGAGGAGGTCTCAGTAGGAACAAGATCACTGCAATAACCATCCAGTCCATCAAGATCAGGATGATACTGATGCCATTATCACCAGAGGGCCCTGGTAATTCCTGAAGACATTCTGTGTCTGGGCAGTAGGACTGGGACTGCCTCAACAGATTGATCAGCCTTCTCACTGCATGTTCATGAGTGCAAACACATTCCTAGGGATCGAATCCACCTTCTGCCATGATCGCCCAGCTTGATTTAACTCGACTGTTTGAAACCGCCCAGACAACAGACCGGGCGTGGAGGATGGGGGCCTGGACCTTGGCAGAAAGACCGCCTGGCGCTTCCGGAACGCGGCCGCGGTGGCTCCTGGCCACTGGCTTCCTCCCTTCCTCGGTTTTGATTCGACTGACCCAGTCGCTCTAAGCCACAAGACCCGGATCTGCCGGCTTCAGCGGGCAGCGGCGCACCAGATGCAGGCGACTCGAGACCCCAGCGGCCCGCCTGCCAAAATTGCTCAGTCTCTTAAAAAAAAAAAGAAAAAAGGAAAAGAAAAAGAGTGAAAGACTTCCTAGAACCAATAATGATGCCTATCTTCTAGTCCAACATTTTGAAGGTGCTATCTGCAAACCTCACAACAAGGTGGGTGTTACTGTCTCCATTTTACAGGTGAGGAAGCAGAAGATTAGGGTAGTGGAGCTGGGAATTCTAACCCAGTGTGTCTAACTCCAAATCATTTGCCCTTCTCTGGTGCACCATTGTTCCTTACAACTTCTTACCCATTCCCTGCATTTGTTTATATCCGCTCTGGTCTCCTGAGTCACTTTGCCCATACTCTGTCCTTTCACAAATAGGTAAATTGAGACTAAGAAGTTAGTGCCTTTCCCAAGATTATGTAATTATTTAATGACTGTAAAATAGCCATCAAACGCCAACGAAGCATTTGCTGATGAGAGTGATGTACATTGCTTATGGCAGTGCCTTTTCACATGGTAAGCAGTCAACCTTAGCTATTTTTACCATTGTTCATCTGTTCATTCATTCCTTTAACAAGTATTTATTAGGCATTTCTTACAAATCAAGCACCTTGGAGTAAAAAAAATAAACAAGATCAGATCCTTTTTGAAGCTCACACTAGCTGTCCCATCTGGGAGCCACTAGATATATGTGGCTATGGAGCATTTCAAATGTGGCCAGTCTGGATTGCAATATGCTCTAAGTTCAAAAAACATACAGGATTTTGAAGATTTAGTACCAAAAAAATAAGCTAAAACATCTCAATAAATTTTATACCAGTTACATGTTGAAATGAAAGTATTTGGAATATATTGAGTAAAATAAAAATATTATGAAAATTGTCTTATCTGTTTTCTTTTTACACTTTATGTTTTAAAGATTTTATTCATTTATTTGTCAGAGAGTGTGCACAAGCAGGGGGAGCAGCAGGCAGAGGCAGAGAGCAAAGCAGGCTCCCTGCTGAGCAAGGAGCCCAACGCAGGACTCCATCCCAGGACCCTGGGATCATGACCTAAGCTGAAGGCAGACGCTTAACCAACTGAGCTGCCCAGGCATCACTGTTTTTACGCTTTTTAATGTGGCTACTAGAAAAGTTAAAATTACATGTGGTTTGTGTTAGATTTTAACTGAACAGCGTTGGTCAAGATGGCAAAAAAGATAAACACGATAAAATATAAATGCTATGAGAAGAGTCAACAGAATATTCTATGAGAACACAGAGAAGCACCTGGCTTGGGGATTCAAGGAAGGCTTTACAGAGGAGGTAACATTTGGCTTGAATTCCAAAGGGTGAGTAAGGATTATTGCCAGATGAGTGTTTTCCAGGAAGAAGATGAGCATGCAGATTGTCACATAAACAGGTAAGAGTAACCAACAAGTTGAAATATGATAAACAGCTTGACTTTTCTCAAGTGTGGGATGGAGGGTAGGAGTGCTTGATGAGAAGTAGTAGGAGATGCAGTTGGAAGATAGATTAAAGAGAGATTATGAAAAGCCTTGCATGCCATACACTACTGAAATTTTTTTTAAAGATTTTACTTATTTGTTTGACACACACAGAGAGAGAGAGAGAGAGAGAGAGAGAACACACAGGCAAGAGGAGTGGCAGGCAGAGGGAAAGGTAGAAGCAGGTTTCCTGAAGAGCAGGGAGCCTGATGCAGGGCTTGATCCCAGGACCCTGCTGCCCCCACTACTGAAATTTTTTTTTTAAGACACATTTATTCAGCGTCATGATCAGACTATTACATTTAGCAGTCAACAACATGGGTGCAAAAAAAAAAAAATCTACATTAAAACCCTTTGTTGGAATGCTTTACACTTTCCACAGAACAGAAACTAAAATAACCTGTTATACAATTAGTCACAAATACAGTCCTCGAGTTTTTTTGCCCATACACATGAGTATTGTCTAAAATATGTCTTCTTTTGTAGCAGCTAGGCCCTGCCACCACTGTGCTTGGCTGAGTTCACAAATCTGTTGTAACTTGTAGCTTCCCTGTCACTTCTCTGGCTCTCCTCTCCTGCTAAGCTTTGTTTCCTGGCAGTAATTAAAACCTTCTGCCACTGCCATAGCTGCTGCTGCTGCTGGAACCACCATAGCCACCTTGGTTTCATGGTTTGGCGAAGTATTGGCCTCCACCACCATAAGGGCCAGAGCTTCTGCCTCCAAAATTGCCTCCTTTCATGGGTCCAAAATTTAAGGATTGATTGTTATAATTGCCAAAATCATTATAGCTTCCGCCACCTCCAAAGTTGCTTCCATCATTACCAAATCCATTATAGCCATCCCCACTGCCACCATATCCACCACCACCTCGACTGCCACCAAAGCCACCTCGACCACTGAAGTGTCCTCTGCGACCAAAGGTGTCATTCCCACCAAAACCACCTCCTCGACCACCACCAAAGTTTCCAGAGCCACTTCAACCTCTTTGGCTGGATGAAGCACTAGCCATCTCTTGCTTAGAGAGCGCTTTCCTTACTTCACAGTTGTGGCCATTCACAGTATGGTATTTTTGAATGACAATCTTATCTACAGAATCATGGTCATCAAATGTTACAAAAGCAAAACCCCTCTTTTTGCCACTGCCTCGGTCAGTCATGATCTCAATCACTTCGATTTTCCCATACTGTTCGAAATAATCTCTTAGATGATGTTCTTCAGTGTCTTCTTTAATGCCACCAACAAAACTCTTTTTCACAGTTAAGTGGGCACCAGGTCTTTGAGAATCTTCTCTTGACTCTTCCATCCACCTTGTGTGGCCTTGCATTCATGACTGCATCCACCTCCTCCACAGTGGCATATGTGACAAACCCAAAGCCTCTGGAGCGCTTGGTGTTTGGATCTCTCATTACCACACAGTCCGTAAGTGTTCCCCATTGCTCAAAATGGCTCCTCAGACTCTCATCGTTTGTTTCAAAGCTCAGACCTCCGATGAAGAGCTTCTGCAGCTGTTCAGGCTCTTTGGGAGACTCTGACTTAGACATGACAGTGGTGGGAGGGGAGACTTTAACAATGCTTACTCGGCGGTGTCCACGGGCAGAAAGCCACTATTGAAATTTTTGATGAAGACGACTGATATGATTTTATTTGAGCTTAGAAAGATAACTCTCATGGCCACATGGAAGTTGGCC